CCGTATGTATAACCAAAACTTCAAAGTTGTATGATTTATAAATTTAGTTTTAACAAATAAATAATCAGAAATTTGTCGCAAATTTTAGCTAGTCGAAAGTAGAACACAAAAGCTCTTGTTGATTCAGTTGTTTCTTGTAGATGAATCTTGTAGATGCATTGAATAAAAATGAATACAATTTGACAAGATCGATTACGTATCAAACTTTTATATTATGTGTATGAAAGTATAAATACAATTATTTTGACGGGATCTGCTGCTTGTTTTAATGCTAAAAGGGGTTCCAAAAATTCATGTTTTTATTTTTTTAGTTTTACTCTTTTTTCTTACTTGTTTTTTTTGGAGATGTCAGAGGAGAATTAATTTATTTATGAACATGAGGGATCTTAAATATGAAAAAGAAATGTTTATCATAAATTATCGTGAGTATAATTTTTTTATGTTGTGTAGGTTTAGGTTTGTTGTTTGTTGCATGTCGTTTTCCTTTGATTTTTTCTTTTTTCATTTTCTTTTTTAAAATTTACAAAAAATTCTGAATGTGTGAATTTACTTGACATTGTTACCAAATTTAAATTTTTTTTTTGTGTTTTTTTTTTATATTTAACATACATACATGTAACTTTTATACACAATTTTAGTATATTGTGTATAATTTGTTCAAAATTCTTTGCCTTTTTAACGTTATACTGTTGATATGATCATTGTTTTTTATGAGAGTTGTAAATTTTTCATTTCATGAAATTTATTTTGTCATAAAAGAAATTTTTATTTGTAAAAATAAAATAAGCTATTAAAAATTTTAAAGAAAGTATTTTAAATATTATTAATAGAGAGGAAGAATGCTAACTTATTATGCAAAATAAAGAGAAATTTTGCTTCAATTTTTGTAAATAATTTACATACATACATACACACATAATATCAAACATAAACGTATTAATAAATAATGTTTAGCTGACATTTTATTATTGAACTTAAGCAAGAAGAAGGATTGGAATAAAATTTACTTTTTTTAATTGACCTAAAAAAATTTGCTTAATTTTTCAATTCAATGTTTTAATTTCATTAGAAATACAAACATCACATACATACAAACATCACAGTGAATTGTGTTTAAATGTTTGCTTTTTCTACATCAAAATCGATCATTTTTAACAATAAGTTTTTGTAAATGCATGTAATACATGAATAAATGCAAAAAAATTTGAAAGCGACAACCACTTGCGTGAACCCGGATTCGTGGCGCTAACTTAAAAAAATATTGGAATTTTTATAACCTTCGCAAATTGTGTGCGATATGAGAAAGTATCTATATTTTTGTGTTGTCGATCATTAAAATCCAGCCGCATATAGCGGCAGAGTTTGTAATTAAGTTTCTTAGTTTTAATTGTAAAAATTTCGAAACGACATGAAATTGAAAGATTGGCAAAAAAACATTGCGGTATTTTTAGCTGAATCTCATATTTGCAAAAATTAAGTGCGTAAACACTTTTTCATATACATACATACAGTATACAGTAAATTTTTGCAAATCAAAATTTTGTTGGCAAAATTTATATGTATGTAAGTATGTAGTAAGTACATAAATTTTTTTGTCAACAAACATATAAATTTTAACACAATATCCCCAATACTAATAAAATTGGGTCAAAGCAATGGTTTGTAAAGCAGCAAACTTTACTGCTCTCAAAAAATTCTACTACTTTGTTAAAATTACTTTCATTAATACTCGCATTTCAAATAATTGCATATATCATATCGGACGGAATTTCCTATTTTTTTGAATTTGCCGTAATATACATAAGTACATACATACATATTCAATTGTAATTCTTTTATTTAAACGAATAGACTTTGTACCTATCTTAGTCCTACAAAAAGACTCATTGTATATTTATGAACTTTTGACAATTATTAGTCAGAATTTCATAAATATAATTTTTTTTTAATTTTCTAGTTCTTTACGTCCTAATTGTTTTTAATCATTAACATTATTGTGACAAACCAAAAATACAGCAAGAATATTGTATAAAACAACAACTGCAACAACAATAATAATGTATGTAAGTATGTAGGTACACTTTATTGTCAAAACATAAGTAGAAAGAAGCCGCGCAACATATTTTGCCTATTGTCTAATCTTTCATGGCTAAATCTTTGTCATGATTTTGGGATTTTTCCTACTTAATTTTTGGTGTTGTTGCTGTTTTTTTTTCTATGACTTGTTTTTTGATATCACCACAAAAATTTGATGGCACTTATGGAAATAAGTTGAGAAAAAAAATATATTGTTTTTTGTATTTTGTATTTTGTAGTCGACATGACAGAATGTAATGGTCATAATTTTAAAGGGTTTTTTTTTGTTTTTTTTGTTTTTTTTTTAAATTTTGTCAAAAAAAAAATTCAAAAATAAAAGTTAGCGTAAATGATTAGCAAGTATTTTTGTTTGAAAGGTTTGTTTTTTAACTGCATTTGTAAGGTATACTGAAAGAAGAGAGAGAAAGAGGAAGAGAAAGAAATAAAGAATATTAATTTTCACATATCACAAGATTCACAAGTAAATATTTTATTTACCTGTATTGAACCTTTAAAATACCCTCAACTCAACAAAAGGTTCAAAGTGCATTATAAAAATTAAATATTAGCATTTTATTTTTTTTTCTGTCTTTTTCTTACATATTTGTTTTAATTTTCTGAGAATTTCATCAAAAAAATTTTTGAATAAATCTTGTAGAGAAAACTTTGTGCCATTCGAAAAAAAAAAACAATATTTAAAAAATTTCATGGAATTTTTATGCAATTTACACATGAATGTTTTGTAATTTTAAAATGTTTTTGATTGTAATCTTAATGTGGAGAAAAGAGGCTTTTTTGAAGGCTTATAAATTATGACATTAAATTTACTTATAAAGTCTTATTTTCTCTAATTATTTTTTTTTTTGGGTCTTTGTCCTAAAAACAATGACTTTAATGAAATTAGAAATTTTAATATTATTAGTACAATATAAAGTGTATATATGAATATGTAAGCATGTATGCATACTTTGTTCACAAAAAATTGTAATAGGGCGGAATGTTACATGTAGTCTTATTTAAAATATGTATTAAAATTTTTGACACTATAGGATTGCATTTCATTCCTTACTAATTGCATTTTACATTTTCTCTATTGAATTACAAATAATTTTTATTATTTTTCATAAAACGATTGGACAGGGTCCAGAAAGGTTTAATAGTGGTTTGTTTTTGCATTTAATCATTAATTGCATCTTGTTCTTTGTTTAGAAATTCTATTCTGGCATATTTTTTTTTTAAATATTTTATAACAAGAAAAGGAAGAAAAAATGTGCTTATTGATTTCTATTCGATTTCTTCGTTTTTCAGGCCAGTCAGAGTTTTGTAAACAAAATAGATGTTAAAATTTTACATTAAATTTTTTTCTAAAATTTCCAATATGACTTGGTAATATTATGAAGATCTTTTAAATCCATCATCATTGTGGTGATTATGTAGCCACCTAGTGAAACTTTAATGAAGATTATATGATACATTTGCATATAGAATTACTGTTGTAAGGGAAATGTGCTATTTTACAAACTGCCATTTATATTTTTTATTTGACATACGCAACTGATCAAGTAAACTCATACAGATATATTATATTCATGCATATGCATATTTGTTTGTGTAAGTAAACTATTATAATTGCAAAAGATATTGATTACAAGAATTTATAAGGTACAAATAAATAAATAAATAATAAAATACCAAAAGTAGAAAATTAAGGCAAAAAAAAATTAAAATTATAATAGAAAACGGAAGTCAAAAACAAAAATTATATTCCATAATAGAACAGAAAAAAAGCACTAAAAACACTCCACTTAAAAATATCATGTGTGCAGAAATCACTTATTTAATGGGTCTGAATTTTTTTCATTATTTTCATTGTTATATTAGATTTTTTTGTATTCTCTTGATTGTTATAACAATTCTTTGTTTTTTTTTTGGGTTTTTTGGTTTTTATGGAATTTATGAGCCATTTCATTTACAATTGCATATTTCCGGTGCCTTTGACCTAACAAAAGTTCAAATTGAATGTTTAATTGAAATTTTTATTTTGTTCGGATTTTTATTTAATTTTGTTTTACGAAATTGGATATTGCATTTTTGGCAAAAAATTTAAATTTTTTTTATTAAAGTACCTTTATAATAATAACACTATTGTTCTATTTCTATGTAATACAGTTTGATTGAATTGTGTTATTAAGTGTAATAGTGATTGTTAGCGATTGTAAGAGTTTAGATTTTGAAAAACTTGTGATTTTAATGCACTTTATGTTTGATTTTATTTTAATTAGTGCGGGTTAATTGTTCGCAATATTCACTGTTTGAGTAAATGAAATGCAGAAAAAAAACGATATTGCAATCAGAATATAAAGGCAAAGTATTTGTAATAATAATGGAAATTAATTTTAAAATTAAATTTGTATTAACAATAAATTAATATTCGGAATTGAACAGAAAGTGCAATAGAAATTTTCAAATTTTTATAAAAAATTTTAATTAAGTTTTGATTGTTTTAAATTATTAAACTTAAAACTCAAAAAAAATTTTTTTCCAAATTTTTGTCGAAAATTTTTGGGAATATTCAAATTGTAGATAAAAATTAAATTATTGTTGTAAATTTTGCTATCGTATCATAAACGAAATATAAGACACTACAGGCTGCTTTGAGAATTTTTTTTTGGATCGATATTTTTTTTTGCAGCATAATAATTATAGAGCAAGATTTTTCTAGTATAAATTTTAAAAACAGGTTTTCAATTTCTCTTTTTAAATTTACTCTTTGCCAATTTCAGATGCACATAAAATAATGTGTGGAAAGTATTCAAATTACCGTTTACTTTTATGTATTGATTTTATATTTATTTTCGGATTTCTATCATTTTGCTTTAGCCGAGTAAGAACACAGACTTTAATAATTAAATTTTTTCTTTTTTATAATCTTCTAAATTAAAGGACAGAATGTGCTGCATAGTATAAAATTTCAATGTTTTAAATGATATTTGAATAAAAAATTTGAAAAAAATGTTTTTAAAATTATATTCAAAATTTGTTATTATTATTTTATTGTTTTTTATTATTAGTTTATGTGATTTTGGACAGGTATGATTAATAAAACGCATTTAATTGAACCTAATTGTATTAAAGTATTTTCTAAAATTTAGAGTCAAATTGTTACACCAGAACGTTTAAATAAAAATTATAAAACACATGGTAACACAAAAAATAATACAAGAGTTGAGGTTACCGACAAAAATTTAATGGAAACAAAAGCTTTAAGGGATGAAATAAGCAGAGCTATTACAGAAAATCGTTATCATATTAATTTAGAAGATAATAAAAAATCAAAAAATGTGAGAATAATTAAAAAAAAAAATTTAAAGTAATCCTGTTATTTCTAATTGAACTTTTAATCCAAATATTTCTAAAATCAAGTGTCAAAAAATTTATTATTAAATATTTTTTTTCTCTCAGTCAACAATTCCAGTTAATCATTCCAGTAAAAATAATGGAACTATTAAGGTAAAAATAAAACCAAGTAGGAAACCAAATGAAACATTAGTAGGTCAAGCAACAAATGGAACTAATTTTGATAATCCAACTGGTCGTAGCAGCTATAATGATGATTTAGATAAAATAATTGCAAAAGAAATTGATCCATTAGGTATTAATAATGATAAAATTGAATCATCTGGTATAAAAGCAAATACAGTTCATAGTAATTTGGCGGCAACTGGTGATGAAGATCGGCAAAAATTTTTATTAGAAGATTTTTTACCAAAACATTTTGTTGATCGTGAAGTTCTAACTGTTACATCAATTGAAGAAGATCCAAAATTTATATTAGGCGATGGTGTACGAGAATGGAAAATATTAAGAACTGAAAGTGAAAATTATTGGATTGGACTTAAAGCACATCATATATTATTAATATCAGATGGAAAATATGAAGAAGCATTACGTGTTGATTTTGGTTATCCAATTGAAGCATTTGAAACATTTAGTTTTTGGAATACAACAAGTGATCGTTCAACTGGTGTTATATTAATATCAATTGGTAATTCAATATCATGGATTGAATCAAAAAGTTTAGAATTAATATGGACATGGAATATTGGTAAAATAGCTAAAATTATGAAATTTTATCAAATTGATGGTCGAGAATATTTAGCTATTTTAGCTGTTACAGAAGATTATAGAAAATATTCAATTAATATATATGAATTTATTGAAGATACTAAAGAATTTTGGATAATACAAATGATACCATTAAAATATCCAACCGATGAAATGATATTTTTGGATACAGGACGTGAAGCTGTATTAGCTGTTACACAAGAAAATGATGTTCTAGTATATGATTATAATCCAGATGCAGAATTTCGTTATGAATTAGCTGAAAAATTTACATCAGAAGATTTAAAATCTATTACTGCTTTTAAAATGGGTGGTTATTCATATTTGGCAATAAGTGGTAAAGAACCAAAAATTTTACGTTATTATCGTGGTGATTTTATACCACAAACATTATTCGGTGGTTATTTTAAATTAGTACATAGATATTTTCCTATACCAGCTCGTACATATCGTGATGATTTAATACTTTTAGTACAACATATTATGGAATTTGCTGGACATTCTTTAACAGTTTTAGAAGCTTTAGTTTGGAATGGGCAATCATTTGAAGCAGCCGGTGATATTCCATGTACTCTTGGAAGTGAAACATATCATTTTGGTGTTAGTTGTATGCTTGATTTAGAACGTGAAAGTGGTATTGCTGGTGCTGCTATAATTGATGGTGGTCGTAATATTTCGATTATAGTACCAAGGGAAGATGCGCCATCTGGTGTATTTACAATTAATACAATATTAAAAGAAAGAAAAACGGAAGTCCAAGAATTGGAAGAATTATTTGAATTTTTAAATTCTACTGCTACAGAACAAGAAGAAATACTTGAAAATACAAATAGTTTTATTGAAAATTCTGATGGCAATTTACTTGACCTTGATTTGGATTATTTTAGTGCTACTGAATTATTATTTGATGGTGATATTGAAGAAATTTTTGTTAATGATATTAAATGGACAGAAGAAGATGAAAATATTGATGTAGAATTGTTAATTAAAGATCTAGAGGAATTGAGTGAAGATATTAAAAATCTTGAAGAGCAATTTTCCGAAAATGATACGAATATGGATAGTGCTAACATTGAAAATGAAGGCAATGATGATTGCTTTGATTCAGATGTGAAAGTAAAACGGTCAATAAAAGAATTTGATTATATTGATTTAGAACTTCATGATGTTATTATTGAGAATCTTATTGTTGATTTAATAAATACTAAACCGATTCCCAAATTAATCGAAAATGGTATATTAAATTTCAATGGCACAATAATATTTGAAAATGGTTTGACTGTAAAAGAGTCATTTAATGAAAATAGTGCTGAACAGAGAACATTTGCTAGAAATAATGAAACCTTAGAGCTGAACGAATTAAAAATTGATGGTGATATAGAATTTGAATTTATTAATGGTATTAGATGGACTGAATTTTTAAGTAAAGTTACTTTAATTACATTCCCAGCTAAATTTAATACTTTAATTGTTGAAGGTGTAAGTTAATTTTTATTGTATTTAAATGGAAAATTTAATTTAATTTTGGAATTCATACAGGATGTTGAAATTGATCAAGGTTTACAAATTGATTTTGTAAATAACATTGAATTTCCATATGGATTTTTATGGTCAAGCGGTCCTAGAACAAATGTTATTACTGCAAGAAAAAATTTCACTGGACTTTTAGGTAAAATTATATATTAATATTTAGTTAATTTTGGCTTATTTCTGATTTGTAGAAGCAAATGCAATGGACACGGCTGGTTTAATAAACGGAATTGATCCATTAACTTTTGTTACACTATCAACAAATCAAACAATAACTGGGAAAACCACTTTTAGGCAGTTAGAAGTCAGTGAGCTTTTAGAGGTTGGATTAGACATCTTTTTATTGTGCATACATAATTGAGTAAATGTTTTAAAATTTCATTTTAGGTAAATGGAACAATATCTGGTCGAGGTCTCAAAGACTTTTTATCAAATCCAACAATATTGGAGACTACAGTCATTAATGCAGCTTGCCGATTTAATGTTCTTGAAATAAATGGAACTGTTAAAGTTGTTGAAAAATTCAATGGACAAGATTTAGATGTAATTCTCGAAAATATTATTTACAAAAATGAAATTGAAAATGATTCAATTGTAATAGAATCAAAGAAAATATTTAATCGAGGAATTGAATTTACTGATAATATAGAAATTAAATCAAATAATCTAAATGATATCCCAATAAACAATTTTGTTACAAAAGATACCGTTCAAGAACTCGAATTCAATAAAATTGTTGGTGATATTGAAATTGAAAATTTAGAATTATCTGGAACATTCGATTCAATTAATATACAAAATTTATTTGAAAATACAACAATGATTGATGGAAATCAACTTAGAAATTCTACTTTAATTGTAGAAAATCCAGAATTTCTAAATATATCTGAATTAATAGTTCTTAATTTATTAAATGGTGAATCTATAAATGATTTTGTAAATATTAATGAAGATATGGAATTTGAAAATTTTGAACTTGATACTATTATAGCTGATTTAGTGGAAACTCAAGTTGATATTGAAGGATCTAGTGGTATATTAAATGGTATCGAGCTAAGAGAATTGAATGTAACTGATAATGAATTAAATATTATTAAAAATAATACAAATGAATTATATTTTGAGGAACTTACAATTGAAAATGATTTAGATATTATTAATCTTAATGGTTTTGAATTCTCAAAGGCTATACAATTATTAGAAAGAGTACATGATATTCCATTTATGGTAAAACAAGGATTAATTACAATTCGAGAATTAATTGTTAATGGTAATATTGATATTAATGGAACAATTAATGGAAAACCATTTAATGAAGAAATTTTATCACGTGTGATTTGGTTGAATCGTGAAAATCAAATTAATAATCCAATAATTTTTAAAAATTCAATTAATTTCGAAAATGATGTAAAAATAAATGGTCTCCTTAACAATGAAAATTTTCAGTCTTTTATAAATGATATTGTATGGAAAAATAATTCAAAATTTTTAAATACCAATAACAAAAATCAATTAAATTCAATTAAATCCGAGAAAACATTTATAAATCCAATTGAAATATTACAGAATGCTCAAATTACACGTTTAAATCAAGGTGAAACGAAAAATTTAGCACGAACAAATGTAAATAAATTAAATTTTAAAGGTAATCTTCATATATTTGGTAATTTAGAAATTGAAAATTTAAATATTGGTGAATCTTTTAATGATATTGAATCAGAAGTTTTTACTGATTTATGCCGATATGATGAAAATTTAGGATGTTATATTCTTGGTAATAATGAAATTGAAGTAAAAGATCCAATTACTATTGATAATTTAAATATAATTGGAAAATTAAATGGATTTGAAAATTGTACAAATTTTATAAATAATTTAGTATATAAAGATGAGCCAACGTTAATATCAGGTGAAATTATTTTTGAACAACCAATTGAATTTAAAGGCAACATACATATTGATATATTAAATGGATTAAATTTGGTGAATGCATTTGAAAATATTGTTTACGATAATGAAAATGAAATTATAGAAATTCATAGTCCTGTAATTTTTAATGAGCCTGTTATAGTAGATTTTCTTGAAGTTAAAGAAGAACTACATACTTCGAATATTGGTGGTTGTGATATTATCGAATGGAAGTTGAATAGTGTGTCATTAGATGAAGATTTGGATATTCCAAGTAAGTATATAGTAAATTTTTTTGTATAAAAAATTGTAAATTAAATGAATTTAGAACAAAAAAAATTGCTAATGCTTCAAGATTTTTTTAATTTATTCAAAATTTCAATATATTCTTTTTTGAAAATTGTTCACTGGTCCTAACAAATTTCAATTTAAAGCTGAATTATTTCTAACATTGCTATTCTAACATTCTTTTTTCATTTAATCTTCAGAGCTTTATTTTTCATCTGGAAGTCTGGATTCTAATGATTTGCATGCTAAATATTTCAATGATTACGATTTGGAAAATCTTGTAACATTGCATACTTATCAAAATTTTACACATGAAATACATGTATCGGAATTATTTTTAACTGGATCCTTAACAACAATAAACTTAATAAACGACAAATGGGATATTAAAGCTGAAATGGAGAATACGGTTATGGTAAGCTTTTATAAACCAAATTTTTAAGACTTATAAACAATTTGTTACCTTCTTAATTTTTATTTTAGAAAAATCGTTTAGAACAACGTATAACATCATCTATAACAGCAAAATCATTTAAAATACTTCATGATCTTCAAATTGATGCACTTGTTAATGAGAAAAAAAATATTTCTGATGTTATACATCTTGAATCTAAAACAATTGAATTATATTCACCAGTTTTCTTTAAAAATTTAACTGTACCAGAAGTATTTACAAAAGATACAATATCTGGTTTTAATTTCAATGAATGGTATGATGAATCATTGTGGTCAAGTGGTCGTACTGAACAGACAATTACCGGTCATTGGAATATTGAAAATCTATATGTTAAAGGAAATATTATTGGCCATGATCATTATATTAATAATATCCCATTGGATATGATACGTGGACAATTAGATGGACCAACAGAAGATCAACAGAAACAATTCAAACATATCACTGATGATTACAACATTTTATGTCAGAAAATCCAAAAAATTATGAAAAAATCACAAAATCGTATTTATTTCGTAAAATATTTTGAAGAATCAACAAAATATAAAGAAAATGGGCTTATAAATACCATAAATATATTTAAACATAATGAAACTTATTATTTGTTATCAAATGTTGATTGTTATACAATTATATACCAATGGGACGTAAAAAATTCAAAATTTGTTCAAATAAATAAATTTGAATCGGGTTCGGTTTTCGAATATATAGCAATATCAGAAAAGAATGGTGATTTAAATTTATTGACAAATTCTAAAGAAAATGAAATATCAAAATGTAAAAGTCAAGGTGTTAAATATTGGGTATTTAATAGTGGAAATATATCAGATCATGGACAATTTTATGGACATTTTGATTCAATATATTATGATCCAAATCAGAATGGATTTGTTTATGGTATATCATTAAATCAAAATTCTGTAATTAAATTGAATCCTGGTAGAAGTAGTGAAGATATTGAAGATGAAATATGGGAACTACCAAAAGAATCAAGAGGTTTATATAGATTTTTACCAGATAATACAGAATTTGGTGCAGCAATTTCTGATGGTAAAAGAATATTAATTGTTAATAAGAATTTTAAAAATTCAAAGAATCGTAAAAAACGTACCATAATTAAAAATGATAATATTAGTAAATTACCAAAAAAGAATATTAATATTACATTTGAAAGTGTTAAAATCGATTTATACGACATTTTATTTGATTTAGTAAAAAATATTTCTAATACTATAAAGGCTCTTCAACAAAATTCCAATTTTCCAAATTACCAAAATATTACCAATGAAATTAATGAAAATTCTTATAGTCAAATATTAAATGAAATACAAAATCAAAGAATTTTAGATGATTATAATTTTATTTCATATGAAAATCAAAATAGAACTAATTTCGATTATATAACATTTAAAGCTATAAATATAACAATATATTCTTGGAATACCATTAAAAATATTCAAATAATTACAAATTTAATTGATGATAAAGAGAAAATTTTAGATAATTTATTAATGCATCAAGCAAGTGCTAATTTAGAAACATTAAGAGTTTATAGAAAAAAATTAATTAAAATAATTACAACTGGTATAATGAATATTGCTGATAATGTTATAAAAAATTTTAAAATTGAAAATAATGAAGAAAATTTACAAATTCAAATTAAAAGACAAGAATATTTAAAATTAATTTTAAATAATTTATTAAATTTTCTTATGAATCGTCTTGAATTTTTAAAACCATTAAATATAAATAAAAATAATTTCGAAATAAAAGATGAAATTAAAACAACAACAAATAATTCAAATATACAATTAGAACGTGGTATACAATTTACACCATCTATTAAAAAATCTATTCTACAACGTCAACAACACCAACAACAATATTCCAATATAACAACAAAAACAACAAATCCATTATTTAGTCGTCGAAATATTGAAGAATATTTTCATGAACCGATTATTGGTCGTGATATATCATCTGGATCATTAAGTAATTTATTAATTGCTGATAATAATCATATACCAGATAAAATATCTGGTGAAATATTACCAATAAAAGTTAGTTATAAAGAGAATCAACATACACTATATGCAATTATTAATTCAAAAAATTATGAAAAACGTAGTAATTTAGATGAAAATATTAAAGATTCAATAAAAATATTTTTTGATATTATGCAAGGACATGTTTTTCAAACAATTGAATCATCGAATCCACGTAATTTAGCTGTATTAAATATAAGAGATGAAACAATTTTGGGTTTTGTTGAAGGAAAAAATTTTATAAAATTGTATATTTATCGTGGAATACAAGGATTTGTTGAATTTTCTCATATAAAATGTGAACATAAAATTGAAAAATTATTAAGTATAGCACTACCAAAGAAATTAGAATTTTTCAATAAGAATTCATCAATATGTCCAGAATTTTATTTTATTGCTGCTGGTGAAAATTATTTTAGTTTTTATAAAGCAATTTTAGCTGGTACTTGTACTGTTGAAGGTGATTTAAAATGTAATGGTTGGACAGAAGATTAAATTGAGTGTTCAAAATTTCTAATCAATTTTTTTTTTCTTCTTTTTATTGAAATTTAATTTAAGTGTTAAATATTTTTTTTTTTTCTTTTCCTTATTTTTTTTCTCTTTTTTGTTATATACTGTGTTTAATTATAATTGAATACAAAAAAAAAATTGTGTGATAGTTTAAAATTTGTTAAATAAAAATTAATCTCTTTTTCCATATTTTTTCGAATGTTACTTTTGAGTATATTTACTCATTTAGGAGAGAATTAGCTCATTTTTACATTTAGTTTATAGAGTTGTCCTCATTCTTACAAAGTTTACTATTAAATTTAACTTGTTTTTGCCAAGCGCAAAATGGAATGCAAAAATTGTCACAGTTTTCAAAATTTATTTTTAATATATCGGCAAACTAAACATAGAACTACGGTAATACTTTAAAAATATTATTGTAGCTAATCAGAGTATATTTCATATTTTGATATTAGAGTATATCAGCTAATATTTTGAGTATATTTCAAAATTCAGACTGCAAAATCTGCAACCAATGTAGAAACAATATAAATTTTAAGAAGAGTATAAGAGCATACGTTGGATATTGAAGAATTACTCGAGACTGTCGCAAATCTGCAAAACAAAGATATTTAATTTTTGATTAATTTAGACAACAAAGATTTTAGTTTTTAGAATTTAATTTAGAACTTTCAATGCATTTTCAAATTATTAAAAATCCTATTTATTCTATAGCTTCAACATTTTGATTTTATGTAGCATTTTTTTGAGATTCATTCACACTGGTTTCTTGAATTTAAATTCAATTTTCATTCTTAATATTTGCATGGAACAATAATACAAGTTTCTTACATATTGCACATAATTTCTTAAATTTAAAAAAAACCATATAATTATACACATAAGTATTATTATAAAATAAAATTTTAATTAAAATAAATTAACGATCAAAATTTTAATAACTACTATTCCTCTTAATAGGTTTCTAACTACATATAAAAAATAAATTTATTGATTAAAATCTCTTTTTAACATTCTATAAATAAATATCTATTAAATAATCCAATGTTATAATAGATGTTATCTTTTGATACCAACATAAAAAAAATTATTATATTAAATAGGAAAAATTAGGAAAAAAAAATCAAGAAAAAGCCCTAAGCCCTTATAAAATTGCGCGTAAAAAAATGCAATGCAAACATTTATTATAATAGATCAATACCTTTATACACATACTTATACTGTAGCCCTCCAATTGATATAGCATCCCCTTGATTTTTTCAAATAATTTCATTTTCTCAATTAATTTACTTAGCAACACGGTATCGTAAAAAAAAACTGAGAGAATGAGAGAGGAAAAGCTATAAAACTGCACTTCACACGCAATATTTTATTTATTCTTTATTTTCACGTTAACACCGACCCCTATTTATAAAGGGTATATGTATATATGCCATATAATACTAAATACATCATGCATGTACATATATTGAATAATGAATGGGAATGCTTCAATGATTGTATACGCTGCAATAGATTGCGCTACATGACATTGCGTACGAATCATTTTGATGATGTAAAAATTGATTAAATACATTCATTTATTTTTTTAAAATGCTTTTTTTTCGTATATTCCAAGAATATCTGAAACGATCTTATTTCTTGTGGGGAGTTATAATAATTTTAATGATGTTTATAATTTAAATATATATAAAAATGATATGTTTAAATACAGGCCATTTCAGGAGTATGTCAAGAATTTGACGATCATGTCGATAACGCTTGATTTTGCAATGACAATTATTTATGCTATTAAGAAAATTTTGGCAATTGATATTTTAAAAATTACATACATATTTCAATAAAACGGAAAATTCAAAATTTCAAAATTAAAATGTTTTGTTCGTCATTAATTTTGAAGCTTTCGTTGAAGCCACGGAACTTTACTCATTTAAAATCATTTTACAGTTTCAAGTAATGACATACAATTGCCTAATAACATCCGCTTACTGTATGCGTTAAAATTCAATATTTCACCAAAGGTGAAATGAGGGATGATATGCTGCAAAGATGTTTCTTAGTTTAACACGTTTTTTTTATCCCAGAGTTGACAGGGACAAACTATTTTAGTATTTTTTTTTAGTTGTTTTACAATTTTCATTTCAATTTTTAAATTCAATATTACAGTAAAGAAATTCTTAAATATACATACACATATAGTATATGTAAAAAAAAATAAATAAATATAAAAAAAACGCAAAAAACTGCGGGTCTTAGGTTAGGTTAAGGGCCATATACAATTAAATGCATCAATTTATTGTTGTATAAGTCTTACACAAAGTGTTGATTATTGCCATTTCATTTTTGACATTTCTCTAATTATTGGCGTTTTTTTATGTTTGTTTTTTTTTTTTTTAATTTTTTATTTGCATTTCTACACAAAATTTTTTTTTACTCAATCAATTAAAATTAATAAAAAAATTCGATTTTATACGAATTTATTTTGATATCAGCTAAAAGTGTAGTGGTATGGTGTGATAATTTTCCAAGGATATTTTTTTCCATATATTAAAGTATAGTAATGAACAAGATGACATTTTAATTTGATGTGATCGAGAAGTCCCTTTTGAATTCACCACCATCATATTAGAACATTTGATTTTTTTAATATGCCATGTGAATTTTTTTTGGTTTTTTTATTAAAGAAAAAGCATTAGACGTGTGTTTATTTTGCCCATGTTTTAATACCCTTTCCTTGCCTCAACTCTCAATATGTTAAAAATATATGAAAGATAAAGATCTTTTATTTAGTCTCTCCTGCAAATTGATCCTTGAATATTTTGTCATTTTATGTATGTGGTTTTTTTGTTATGAAAAAATTTTTGGAAGAAATTTTTTATTTATAGCAGAAGAAGTTTAAATTAAAAATATTTTGATAAGTTTTTCACGGTTTTTTTCATTTAATACCCCGATATATCGCGCATCAAAATGTAATAATAAATATATGTGTATAATAAACCTGGTCTATTGTTAGTTAATTTAAGATAATAAATGAATATAAATAGTTCAATAATATAAGGATATTTGAAAACCATCTGCTTTTGTTTCATAATTCATAAAATAATTTTTTTTAAGAATCCTTTTTTTTTTTTTTTTATAAAAGGATTGCTGTTTTTTTTCGATTATGATTACTCTGCGAGTCTGATAATCCTTTTGTTGGATTTCTTTTAAATTAATGTAATACAAAATTGAACAGATGGAATTAATAAAAAGGTGAGTAAAAAAAAAATATTGTTATGCAATTTGGTAATTTAATAAATTGTATGTTAAGGTCAAAAAAATTTTTTGTTTCTAAGAATTTGATGCGAAGAATTGAAATTTTTTTCTAAATACTTGCATATAAGAAAATAGATTATACAATATAAGGAGAAAATTTGAAAAAAAAAATGGCATCTTTATTTTATTTCTTTAATGAAGACCAACAAAACATCTGCATTTTCATTAACATTATGCAATTATAACCGATATTTTTATAATTATTATAATATATAGTTGGCTAAAAAAGCATATGTTTCTAAAAAAAAGACCTTCTTTTATAGTTGAAACATGTTATGTAATTTCTTTTGGTTTTAAATTAGTCATAAAAATTTAGCTAATTATTATTTTTCTGTATATTATGTTAAGTGAATATTTTAATTGTTTTTTCAAGCCATAAATGTGACACTACGGCACCACCATACTCTATTTTCGCCAGAATGTCAATTGCAAAAGTAGAGATCTATTGATACTCACTGTAATTATAGTGTAATTCACTATAATTCTTTAAACTTTGCTTATCAGTTTTAAATTGACGAACGAATTTAATGCAAATCAATGAATTATATTCAACTTTATTCAGAATCCAAACGGCCTTTCAATGCATGTTATTGAAATTCTTTGAATTTTGCTTATCAGTTTTAAATTGACGGACGTGTTCAGTGCAACTCACCAAACTAAATAATTGTACATAAGAAACTGATCTTATACCACGGCTGCGTAGAATTAATAAATTATATTCAAAATTAGATGACACCTCCTTCCGATGGCTTTTTTACGCGATTTTATAAATTTTTCCAGAATGTTCATTTGAATGGCGTTTCAAGAATCTTTATATAAAGATCGGGCGGAGCGGTATTCCAATGCATAATATTGTCTTTCTTTAGATTTTGCTTATCAGTTTTAAATTGACGAACGTTGTTTAAGTGCTAATAACACACCAAATAATTGTATATAAACAGGACCTTTACCAGTGCAGTAATCATATTCTGCTTTAGACTTCATTTAAACCCAATGGGTTTTTTTACATGAGTAAAGTGCAGTAGTTGCAGCAGTCGGAGATGTTGTTAAAAATTCTCTATGTTAACAAAGTGCTTCCAAGAGACGGCGACCACCTAGTCTTTCTAGGATAAGTTATTTTCCTTTAATAAAATTCATTTAAGAGTATATAAAATATTGTCCAATTTACATAAATTATTATAACAATCAAATTTATCATACCTACATAATAGAAGATCAACTCCAATGGTATATTATTCAATATTTATTTATCTCACATTTTATCTTCGTTGTTTTGGTAAAATAGAAAATTCCAATTTTTTTGTAGAGGAACATGAGATTTTCGTAGAATATAACTTAAAATACATATATAAAAACTGGTAGCCAATTTATCATTTTTTATAATTTTTGACAAACATTTTATTATTTTTGTATTTTTTTCCTAAAATAATTCACCTGTGTTAATATTTAATTCTTCCGTTTTTTCCATCTTTTTTCTTCTTAAGAACCAGAAAATATTTTTTTTCGTCTCAAATTGAAAATCGAAAAACAAAAAAATATTATTAAAATTTTATGTGTTGTTTTTCTAATTGAACTTATTATCAAAAAAAAAAAATGAAAAAAAAAATAATTTAAAAATGTTTCAAATTTTACAAAAAAAAAAAAGAAAACAAAACGATCGCAAAGAGAAAAGTCATTGAACTGCAAATGAAATTTCATAAATTTGTTATCAAAATTTCACGTATACTACACTGACATTACTAC